AAAGAACTCAGTGGTAATTCTGTAAATAATTCAAAAATCAAAACAAAGCCGAGCGCCACCTCCTGCTTGCCGCCGGCGCCACGTAGCTGCTTGCCGCCAACCATCTTCACCACTTTCTCGCGCGGTGACACGCTTCTGACTCCGTGGCGACCTTGTTCGGGAGCTGTCGAAGCCGGACGCGTCCTTCTCTGCTATAAATAGTCGCACCCGCCGCCGTCGTTTTCTTTTTCCTCTTGTCTGCTCGCCGTCGTGCCCCGCCGCTCGCCGCTGCTTCAGCCAAGCGCCCCCTGCCAAAATTGGCCACGCCACAAGTCCAGCCTTTCCCTTGTGCACCTGTTGGAGCCAGCCACAACACCTCGTCGCACCGGAGTGGGCCGTGCAACGTCGTCTTCCTCGCGCCCGGTCAGTGCGCCGCCGAGCTCGGTCGCGCCGTGGCCAGAGCCCTCCGTTCGGTTTCTCCTTCAACCAGATAGCATCCGAGCATCGTGGCGAGTCACTGATCACGACTGTGCTGCCTGTTTAGTCGCTACCATACCATTGACGTCGATCCGCGTGCTTGCCGGCGAACTCTGCTCGGTTTTCCGCCGTGTGCGTGGCCATGCACGTTAGGAGCCTTGCTTTGTTCGATTAGCTGTTGTGCAGTGTTCTCCTGAGTGAGGGGAAGCCGAAGATGCCTTCACCGTGGTCGGAGATGCTCCCGTTCGCCACCTCCATTTCACCGGAGCCCTACCGTGCCGCAGCCACCGTCGCCGTGCTCGCCGTCGGTCATCTCAGCTTCCACCGGCTACCCCAGAGTATGCGCAGGGTCGAATAGAGCGTGTCGGTGCGAACCGCGTCGCAGGAGACCTCGTCACCGGTGAGTTTTGGCTGGCCAGAGTTGGCAGCGCCGCCGTGCCTTGTGTTTGTGTCACTGACGAATGGACCCAGGCTGTCAGTGAGAGAAGGGAGAGAACAGTGAGATTTTGTTATTTTCTGAATTGTGAATAGTGCAACAACTTTGGATATTTATAGGAAAATAATTACAGCTCTAAAAATTCTGAAAATTTATGTGTAGCTTCTGTACATGTTCTATTATGGTTTAAAAATATGAAACTTGAAATTTGAATAAATTTTTAATGTTCAAAAATTCAATCAATTAATTGATAAATGCAATTTCCATAATTTTTGTAGGCCACTGTATAACTCCAAAAATTATGAAATTTATTTTGGTACACTAATTTGTCATGAGCAAGCTTGCATAAAATTTTGAGGTCATTTGGAATAATTTCATTTTGAGCTTAATTCCAAATTAATTTAAAAATGAATAAAAGCAAACCCTAAGTGTTAGGTTAGAGTTTGATCTTGTTTTGGTCATGTTTTGTGATCAGCAGGGTTTCAAGATCAATTTGGTCAAGTTACTTAGGTTATAAGTCCTAGATCATTAAAGTTTGGTTAGAGTATAGTTAATGAATGATTTCATTCATTAAGAGTAGAACTTTGGCATGAAACTTTAGGGTAGTCCTTTAGAAGAATGTAGGGTTTCTTAGTAATAATTGTTGTGTGATCCTTGTTGGTAGAATTGCAAGTTGGTTGTTGTTGGCTTGCAACTGTACCATGAAGGAAAGTTGTACTCAAGGTGTTATTACATTTCATGCACCATGAAAGCATCATGTTTACATTATCATCATGTTGAAGCATATGCTATTATTTCGTGTAGAATCCGAGAGTGAACCGATCCTAGTTGAGCAAGTTGTGGAAGAATCCTCGGTTGTCTCGGGATTCGATATTTGTGGTACTGATCCGGAACCCGAGATCGTCAACGAAGGCAAGCCTAGTTTTATGCATTAAACTATTACCTTGTTTACTTTGAAAAGTTTATCACCTATGTTACTTATTGCATTAAGTTGATTAATTCAAATGTTACCTACTTGATGCATTGTCTACCTTGTTAATTGTTTACCATCCTTGAAGATGATCTCATTTACAAAGGCGTAGAATTGCTTAGTATGCTTTATGGTAGGCTTTCAAAGTAAAAGTTTCAATACAATCAAAGATGGCATACTGGCCAAAGAAAGAAAGAAGATAGAATGAACTAGAGACTAGTCGGGTGACTTATCTTGAATGTTGGGTAATGTTGCCGACTATGTCGCTTAAAGGCCACTCATTGTGGATCTTCTGAACGAGACACTTTGTAGTACTGGTCACATACTCCAATAAGCCTACTTCGGCTAATCTGATACTAAGATGAATGCCCACGCACTGGGAGTGGAGAGATGGTGGGAGTAGCGTGTACCCTCGTGGCTGGAATGTGGCCGGATTTGAGGTGTGCTGTGCTATCGGGTGGCGTGGAGACGGCTTAGTATAGGAGGATCCGATAGCGAGGTTGATATATGCAAGATTAAGTTCTACATATGTCGTGTGATAAGGAATCCCCAGCTGGGACTTGAATCAATTCGAATTGCCGGTGCTCCGCGGATATGGAGACTCAATTCATTACAGAAGCAATGCAGGACTGGTGAATTACTAAAACATGAGAAAAAGGAATGGAATGAGAAGGATTGGAATATGGGATATGAACACTTAGTTTGAGATAATGAACTAAGAAGACTTAGGGGTAAAACTTGAAAATAGGATCAAGAATAGTAAGCTTTTGGCAAAGAACTTTTGAATCTTGCTACATCCTTACCTTGACCCAACACCTGCATCCCTAAGACCTTCACCCCCTTTTATGTCGGGTCAGTCTTGTTGAGTACTTTTGTACTCAGGGTTTGTTAACCCTTGTTGCAGGTGAGTCGCATGCGCAAGCTTGTTTTGGTCCCTGCTGCATGTCAGTGTTTGAAGTCGATGACGATGAGGAATGATGAATGGCCTTTGGACAAGGCACTAGTTTGTGTGAAATAAATAATGTTAATGTAATATTATCCCACTACTATGGTTGTATGACACTTATGGTTTTGTAAGTTTGAAACAACTGATTTGTAATATTAAAACTTAAGTCTTCCGCTTTATAATCTCTGATATGTATATTGAAAACTGTTGTAATCTGTAATGTCTGTGATTGGGATCCTGTTTGGAAAAGATTCGTGGATGATTCGGGTTTCCCGAGGACACCCGATAGACCTGTTAAGTTGTTGGGAACTCGTGTACGCTATCAGAGGTCTGTTGAGACATCGATAGGTGCACGTGGGCCCAATTTCTTAGGAGGTTCTGCCACAAAGGGTGGATGTGTTGGTGCTCAAGCTTGGTGACACCGATGTCGCCACTGACCCAGTTCCACCAAAGGAGGGACCTATGGGACCTCATGTCGAACACCTTGTGGGCGCTGACAGAGATCACCAACCCACCGGAATTACGAACTACGATCTAAGCGAACGGCTTCAAACGGTTATCGAGGGGTGGTTGAGCACCGTTGTAGTGGTGGTGGTGGTGGTGGTGATGGTCCGTTGGATCCATAGCTGAAGGTCGTCGGAGTTGGGGTAGAAGCGGTGATGAGGAGTGACAAGCGCCCACCACCCACGCCAAGGATAGAACGCCTCCAATACCACTTGTCACCCCTGGCCACCGGTGAATCACCGTCGACATGAGTTCGTGACTGGATATAGGACAAGGACACCGGCAGGGCAAACCCCACTGCCTTGGCGACTTAGATTTCTGGATAATAGAGTTGTTGCCGGATACAACACAGGTTCAAGCACTTATGTGCCGATACAGACACTGGCCACTTGGCCCCACAATTCAGTACAAGAATGTAAACGTAATATTACAAATGTGTAAGCTACTGAGGAATACGTCTTCTTCTCCAGGTCACTCCCATCAGTAATGATCGCTGGGTGTGACACTCTGCTTCCTCCACAGTCCACACTACGAATCCGCCTCCCCAATCACACAGTTCACCAACGCCGTCGCCTCCACCCTAATACGGCACCCTCCCCTTCTCACCACCAGGGGCGTCTGCTATTCGTAAGGTCGGATTAACTCACTTCCCCTCCCCCATTTTCTCTCTTAATTAATTACTGCTGGGTCTCGCATTTTTATTTCGCTTTTGTGGTGCTCATGGTTTGCTAACTTATTAGTTTTGGTGCATTTAGTATATATAACAGTTGTCAGATCAATCCATGGTTAAGTCCTCAGTTGATAGATCCGCGCCCACAATGTCCAAAATGGGGCATTTAATTTTTTACCACTCTTACGAATGACACCATAACATGTGTCACTGACACATGAGTTACCGACATGGTATTTTATATACCACTCACCTCATAAGTCTGGTAAAAAGTTAATTATTCCGTCGAAAACAGGACGTTTTAGTTATGTTATCTTGGTTACAACAGTCCTAGTCTGTTCTTTGAACAAGTTGTTGAGTTCTGATGTATCTTATTATTTTACCAATGCATTTTTTGAATGGGTTGGAATTTACCAGTTCTCTATCGTTGTTTGTTAATTTGTGAGTTATAATTAGTGCATGTTTAGTATGTAGCATACCATTCTTTTCTCCTTTTCTCCCAAAAACAATTCTGTTGAATTGCCCTGGGCATATACACAGTATTATATAAAGATATAGCACTTTGACTTCCCGAGTGTTAAACACAATATATCCCTAGTGCTCATGTGTTCACGAAAGGCACGGGATTATTAGCCCTCATTGTTATCTGACTTCCGTTAAAATCTTATTTCCCTAGTGTTATATTTTTTCCCTAGTGGATATGCTGAGCACAAGGAATTCTCAGGTTCCCGTGCGCTTCCTTGTAAACACTCAACTCCACTAATCTGGCAGTGCATAACATGCCAAAACACAAGTTTGCCACTTGCCACTCACCAGTGTTTGACATGTCTTTATCACATGAGCAAGTTAAAGGCAAAAACACTACTGGTTTTCGCCCACAGGTCCACAAACCTTTATAAATTAAATCAAAAGACACACACTACTTGTGAGTTGTGACATAGAAAATATATAATATATCCTAGGCATGTAGGCATGCCTTGCTTGTCTTGGCCTCTACCTCTTCCTAGCTAGAGAGAGCCTAGAAGCACTGGTACATCAAGTGATCTATGGGCTGCTGGACCATTTGCATGCCAGAGTTCCATGCAGTTGCGCTTGCGCCAAAAGTATCGTAGTTAGCAGCTCCGCTCATGATAGTTGCTGGATGTGCATTCATTGTTGTTGCGCGCGGATTAGCAACATGGTTTGCGTTCATGTAGCATATGATCTGACGCAGCGCGCAGAGTCTGCTCTCCAGCTCCATCATCTGGGTGCGCAGCACCGAGTTCTGAGCTTCTGCTGCCGCGTAGTTCTGGGTGGTGATGTTCAGTGCTGTCATGAGTTGCTGTTTCGTCGTCCTCAGCTTGTCCACCTGTTTTTTGATTCACAGAAGACAATTACATTCCGATATAAACGCCATCGATTGGCAGAACAAAAAAATCGTGGGAGGAAGATATGTATATATACGATCGGCAAATTGGACGGTTTTGTTTTAGATTTCGAGGGCTAAGATTGATAGAAAGTTTTCTGATATTCATGAAGTCTGTGTCGCAGGGGACTGCTGTGTCTTTTTGCCTGGAGTATTTGGTGATTGTGGTTAATAATAAGTTCAATTTACGTTGAGAAATATAATATCGTGTACAATTATTGACGTTACTGTTGATCTAAACAACCCAACGAAATGGTATGTTATTTTTCTTTTCCTTCTTTTTGATGAGTACTAGCTAGTAGTTCAATTCGTGGAAAATTGATAATATTTGGGAAAGAAAGGCATTAAAGTTTGAGCGTACTTTTGAGAAAGATTTTGACAGTGGCACGTCGTGCATCGTTCTTTGCTAGTTCGATATCACCGCTTTATTAAAAGATGTAAATAGTGGAAGGTTGTAATGTCTTGTTTTGGTTGGATGTTCCAACTGCTTACTTTGAAGCAATTTTGTTGGGTGGACCCTGAGAAAGGGACACCGTGCATTATTGGAGTTTGCTTGCCTCAGCAGATCCTGAAGCTCACGTCTCCTTTTTCATCTGATTTTGCTTTGTGTCAAATTCACCTGCACATGAGTGCAAGCTTCAATAATTGAAGACATCGCAATCCATGTACCGACTAATAATTGAAACATGGTTAAATTTTCAAATCAAATGTGTAGAAACATACTGCATATATATAAGAGTGAGACACAAACAAACCTGTGAGTTGAGGTCGTCAAGATGTTGTTGCTTCCGCTGCCTTGACCGCTTTGCAGACTCCCGGTTTGATTCCATCCTCCTCTTCCGCTTGAGCTCCATCCGGGCCTGGAGGTCCACCATGTCACCCTCCGACCCAAAGCTGCGGGTCCCATGACTCGACCCAGACGAGGTCCCACTTGAAATGGTCCCACCTGACAGGGTCATCCTCAACAGATACTTTGATCGAGTTGACGACCTTCACACTAAGCTCGATCACCGTACCCAAAGTTATGTCGTCTAGACTAGAAGCTTCCTCTAATTAAGTTGTTGTACGTAGAGGCTATAATTTCCAAGGAGTAGCTAGTGTAGGTACACAGTACAAGGATATGATACTAGTAATGTTTCTATTTTAATGGTCTATCAGTGGATGAGATTTTTGTAGTGGTGGTTAGGATCTTACTGAGAACACATAGAACCAGTAGAGGAACACAACGGAGAAAGAGAGAACAAGATGGGTGCCTCGCCGGAGCGTCGAGTTGATCATAAATCCGGAGCGGCTGACCTCAGAGAGGATTTGTGACATCTAACAAGCCACACGACCTTCCTCTCTTTAGTCTATCATCGATCAATTGGCCAAAACGTTTACAGTAATAAGCTTTTACAGAAGAGAAACAAACAAGTTGATGATGCAGATGCACCGGAACAAATGTCTCCTGTATGAGCTTAGCTGCAGGTAAAAATTTTGGCGCAGTCTCCCCAGGAAACCTTAATTTGCTTCCGATGGAAATATGGTCTTTGAAGCCTAAGGATTGATGATCTGGTCACGAGAACAAGGCTAGGGAATACGATTAAGAACACAAGGAAGGTGATCGAAGTGCTCAGGGTCAGGGAGCAAGGGCAAGAGATTCTTGCTAGCCAGGAAGATGGCATGCAACAGGGCCGCAGGACAGGAACCTTAGTGAGGAAGGAGGGGGGGAGGGGAAAAGGGAATTGAGGCCTGGAAGAGGGGCACATTTATAGATGGAAATGCTGTGAGTTTTGTGAGAGAGGAAAAAAAAAGATTAATGCAAATCATAGTGGTGGAATGGAAAGCAGTGGTGGCGAGTGGGTGACTGGTTGCGGCAGAAACATGGGGAGGAAAAAGCAGAGGTGATGGTGGGCTGTTGCTTGTGGGGTTGGAATCTTCCCTGGTATCTTGGTACAATTGCCAAAGGTTAGGTTCATTGGTCATTGTTTTGGTAATCAACTAATCATGCATGTAGCTTTGGCAAACTTGAGTAGAAACATACCCTGTGCTAAATATGATTGTTGGGTTATGCTATAACTTGTTCATTGTACATATTATTAGGTCAGAAACATGTGAGCAAACCTTGTGCTTCCCTTATATATGCAGTATCACTGTTCAGTCAGTAAATTGTTCAACTGCTGCTACCTGGTAGTAATACTATGCACAGAGGAAGAATAATGTTTCTAGTAACTTAGTGAGGGTAGGTATATTTATTTTCTGTTGAAAAGCTGTGAAGATATTTGCAGATCATGGGGACGTTAGTGTGGTCCAGTCTACAAAGTGAAACCACATGCCATCCACAGATTGTATTGATTTTACTTTCGAGGTTGCCGGGTCATAGTGGTTGTCTGCCAGTGGACAACCTATTCATTTCTTAGCTTTCTGTATTCAGACAGAACACAGTGACATAAGTGCTGCTGAGCAACTCAAAATGCTTAAAACCATATAACTATATCATGCAGATTCTGGTCCAAAAGAATCATGTGAGTTCCTAGCCTCTCATTGTTAAAAGTTTTTACAATTATTTGCTGATAGCAAGAACTAATTTATTGCGTATAGACTTAAATCAAATTGAATAAGATACAGTGCTCAAATTCTAGACCACTGTTCCTTATTTTTCTTCCAGACAACTTTCAATAGGATGTTTGGAAATTCTATTGCGATTGGTGCAAACACTTTCTTATCAGATGAAAGTGCAATAATTTCTTGATAGAAATTTTGGTCACTGTTGAAGATTTTCCTCTGTGCTCACAACTGTCTATTACCGGTCTGCAAGTGAAACAACCACACTCTTCATGGGGCTCATGGCTGGTCACTCAAAAAAAAATTGTCGTTCAAAATGAATGTAACATATTAGTAATTATGATTACTCCGAACTTTTGTTTTGTGGGACCAGATATTTTCATCCTGTTGAGGACAAGGTAAAAACTCTGTTAATTATTTCATCATATTTAGCACTTGAAGCTTGAAGGCACCGATAGAGATCTCACCTTATGAATGCTAGTTGCAGTGTCATTGCTATTAGGTTTGAACAGCATGTTTATATATGTATTACTAGAAACACCTAGCATTTCTAACAATTCAAACATCACAATACCTACTACATGCTTTCTGAGAAGATAATGACTCGTACAGTCCAGTAATTGGCTCGTCTTATCCAGAAGGATCAAATCACACCCAAAATGTGTGCATTGCCCATTAGGAGAACCAAAGGTCAGCATGAAAAAGGTTTCAATTTGTTTTTCTGTTTTGATACATTAGTGAAACAATTTTGGGGGTCCTAATTTTCAAATTTTGTTGGCCAATCATCGTAACGCAATACCGGACTTGAAAATTAACATGTCAATAGCATTGCAAATTGATTGACCAGATATGTAAGTTAGTGGCTCTTCACATGCATCACTTTGGACGGCTGAGAATGCAGCTAGCCTAGTGTTGCATCTGGACTATGTATCCCTGACTGCCAGTATTTTGGGCTGCTTTCCATGTGACGTGTCAATGAATTGCGGAAAGGTGAAGTACTGCTCATAGACAGTGCGACATTGATTTTTCATGACACTAGTGGCAAACAGCTTTATCTGTTGGCCTGGTGATATAACCCCCGCTCGTTGGTTTTAGCCAGGGCTTATCAGTCAGTCAACGGTGTTTTTCTCTTCCAACAAATCAGTACCAGTCGGGTTTATCAGCCCAGAAACCGACCAGCGAACAGGCCAACGGAACAAGCTAAAACACCAGTAAATGAAGCGTCATGTCAAGATATATTCAGTTGTATTCTCAGTAAGTTATTAGCTTTTGTAATTTCTGAAACTATGACCGTTGTTTACCCTGAAATGACTGTAACAATTTCATGCTGAATATTCCACAGAAAAATTCTAAATAAAGTAGCATCATTAGCTCAATATTTGAGCACATGCGTAAAACCTTGGCAGATCGTCTTCAATGCAAAAGACGACAAAATGAAGTGTCTGCTTGCAATGAACAGAGTACAGCACTAAGGAATTGAAGAGGGAAAGGCCGATCAGTATTCTCCATGTATCAAAATGTCAACACATTCATGCACCAGCTGGTAAATTTCTGCGTTCGCTATCAGCTAGCGGTGCCTGCTGGTAGCATCCCTCATCACAATCCCTGCACATTGGCGCCTACTACAAACTCTTGCCTGACAAAGTTCAGAAGAAATTCATCATATTGTGTTTAAGGAAATGTGTTCCCAGTACAATAGGACATGATATGGTTGAACTCGTGATGTTGATCTAGGAGTGTCTTACGATCAAGGAACCAATCCCTGGAGGCCTGGTGCATATTATAAGAAGTCACCTAATTTTCCTTGTAAAGCTTCATACCAAAATTGTGGAGAAACTTGAAGAGGTTTCACCGACAAAAGAAAATTTGAGTATTTATTTGAAAGAAAACTAAACAATCGTCTGATTGAGAAAAAAAAAGTTTAGAATTCAGTTCTTTCTCAATATACAAATGAGGCAATGAGCAATGCTTGGCATGTACGGGCTGCTTGTTCCTTACGAGTATTTTTCAGTGTTCCAAAACCATGCACTGAGAGAAACTAAAGCAGGTGCGCCGATTCAGCGAATCTCTCCCGGTTCTTGCCGTGTGGAATCCTCTTCGTTCACTTTAGATGCTCCAAGACTAGCACATGGGGTTGGACAATGACCCACACGAGTCCTGCTGCAGACAGCCTTTTGCATTCGGAATTCATGGAGATGCTTCGTCGCCTCAGCTGATGTCTGCTACACCGTTCTACAAGCACCTAAACATTTATTTATCTGAAGTCTCACTCTTAATCAAACGTTAATGAGACGTATGTATGTCTTATAAGCACTCAGGTATCATGTGATTCGGATCGACACGCAAACGTACATTTCGTAATTATTTTTTCAAGATAGTGCTACTCATGTTGTAATTGTAAGGCCCGTTTGGCTCTTCAAAAGTAAGGCACGGCAGAAACCAGAGCTACATAGGTTTTCTCTCTTCAAAGACGATAGATATCTGTTTGTCACAAGCAGAAAAAAAATCAAGTTATTTCATTTTTTTCAATGAAATTTAGAGAAAACTTTCTAACGTGCCCAGATAAGAATATACGTACAATCCTAGAAGGGAGGGGATGCCCAGTAAAGAATTTTCTTCATTTGCAGGTACAATGACATCACCAAATAATCAAGGGGGCCAATCAACGTAACCGTGTTCTAAACATCAACAACCAGTATCATGTTTATTGTTTAAACATTGCAAATATGTTTCACAAGGAGACCATGGCCAACTTTGGTATGAACTAATTAAGCTCCGTCCTATAGCCATGCAATGTCTAAATAGGATCTATACCTCTGTCGTAGCATATAAAGTCTATGAGGTTGGTGTATTCTTCACAAGGTCTATTCCTGTGTTGTACTTATAGTCTATCATATTCTCTTAGCCGATCTCTAGGTCTGATATAGTGCAAATAATAATTTAACTAAATAATGAGCATGACTATAAATAATAGAACAATAGGAATAGAAATGAAACAGTTTCAAATAACTCTAAGTAGATTACCAACAAATAAATAATATTTATAGAAAATTTTGTTTTTCATTTAAATTAGTTATGAACTTTTACTTTAGAGACTAAATCTATTTTTTTTAGAAAATAAAAAACATATTTGAAACAGTTATTAGAGGGCTAATAAATTGTTTTTGGTTTCAATGGGTGAAGCCACTGCTGGAGACGGCCTGAGGCCCTCGGCAAAGGCCCATTAACCATCGGCAAAGGCTTTGCCGAGGGCGGCCCTCGGCAAAGAGCTCTCGGAGAATTTTGAGTCGGCGAAGAGGGTCTTTGCCGAGGCCCCTTTTATCGGGCACTCGGCAAAGCCTTTGCCGAGGGCTGGACCGGCACTCAGCAAAGAAAAGCAGTCGTCACAGGCGTCGGCGCCTGGGACGAGTCTTTG